GAGATTTTACTGGGATTCATTTGCATTTTAAACAACTTATTACTGCCCCATTGGAAGGGGTTACATCGAATAGATTAGAGATTTGTATCTTTTATTATTTTAAGTTTTTCTTCAGGTAAGTTTTTTACATATATATATATATATATATATATATATATATATAATATATATATATATATATTAATAAGTATATATATATATATATATTAATAAGTTTTAATCGTATTTTTTTGTATTCTATGTTTACGCGCTTTAAATATATTCTTCACTGCCACTGCCTCATGCATAGTAGGTGCTGTTTTTGGGGTAAAAAATTACGAAAATAAATATGAAATAATTTTGGAGTACCTAAGATTTTTTCTTAAATTAGTCCATATTTTTTACAAATAGATCTTTACTAATATACTTGTAAAATAACTTTCTTAAATACAAATATAATATATTTGTTTAACACTAGCAGCTCACCCTCGCTTCGCTCGTGCTCGCCTCTAAGACAACAAAAACAAACCTATCCCGCAGGAACCGTACATTTTTCCGGGGTAAAAAGTAGCCTATGTATTATTCCAGACTATTATCTATCTTTGTGCCAAATTTCATCCAGACCTGTTCAGACGTTCTGTCGTGAAAGAGTAACAAACATCCTTACTCACAAACTTTCACATTTATAATCTTCTAATATATAAAATTTCCATGTCACAATGTTAGTTACCGTACTCTTCCGAAACGGCTTTACCGATTTTTACCAAATTTTATATGCGTATTCAGTAGGTCTGAGAATCGGCTACTATCTATTTTCCATACCCCTAAGTGATAAGGGTGGCCCACGTTAGGGACGAACCCGAGCGGAGCGAGGGTGAGTCGCTAGTATTAATGTAGATATAAACTAAATCGTAATATTGAAACTGAAAAAACTAACTCCAATCCACTTGTAAGATATACCTTATCAATTCAATGAGACAAAATCTAAATAGCAATACACATAGAATAAAGGGGAAGCATCCAGTTACGGTAATGAATCCCAAATAAAAGAAGTCAGCTCCGCTAATGGACTGTAGGGAGCTTTTAGCTTAAGAGGGCGAGACGCAAACAACAGTACGACTTTGACCTTTAGGCCTAGCCCTTTTACCCAGATTTACGATACACCGCGTGCAATAGAATGAAGATATCGAAGATTAATTTATCTACCTGTAATATTTTTTGGTAATAAAAACAAAGTATGATTGTAAATATAATTTGCCATATCCATACTTCCATATTTAGTATTATAAATGTGAAAGTGTGTTTGTTTGTTTGTCTTTCTTTACCGCGGGAGATTATCTCTTTTCCACGGGAAAACACGTTATAAAACAATCCAAAAAAAATATTTATGATCAGAATTACTTGAAACTTGGTATAAAAGCTCTTCAAAACAATAAATACGTGTTTTAGCATTTTTCAAAAAAAAATATTTAATTAAGGGGTAAGATAGCGGATGAAAGTTTGTATGAAACCTCCCATTTTAGTTTTTTTTTAGTTTTAGCGCGAGCGAAGCCTCGGATTCTGCTAGTAAATATATATATAAAAAGGTTATCTAATAGAATTTTATGTACCTATTGTAATTAAATTGCAACCACCTCACCAATATTGAATTATTTCTTTGTATTGAAAAAGCCACCATTCAAAAACCTCGAATCGGACGTAATTTTCAAATAATTATACTTACATGTATTCAGCCCTTTTTTTAACGTCCCACTGCTGGGCACAGGCATACGGCATCCCTTCTACACTTACAAAATATTTATAAATTACTCATGTTACTATCTACTTTGAATATTCTGTCCATTCTTTTTAGTTAAAAAGAAGGAAGTGCTCAATTCAATTTTGTGTTTTTGTGTTTGTTATATCTTCGCTAAGTATAAATAGAATTTGATGATTCTTTTTTAACGAATATTTTTTAATGAATAAAAGGTTTTATATAATTTTTAAAATTTTAAAAACCGTGGGCACTCCTAGTGCTTATAACGGAGCCCGGCGTGACGCTGCAACACGCAGCCAGTCCTGCCGGAGCTCGCCCTTAACCAACGACTACTCAGTTCCGGCTGAGTAGTTGTTGCCCTCAACAGATTACCACCACCATCTGGTGGTGAACAAACAACAAAAACCAACAACAACCAACACAAATAATTGAATTTTAATCCTAGCTAATCCAAAAAATATTTTTTTTAAACTTAGATCGATTTTGATACTCGCATTGCACTCATCACGTCGTATTATAGTATATACCTACCTATCATATGTTGTCTCGAATCGCAAACAAGCATTATTTTATCATCAGTAGTCCTATTCTGTAAGAACTTATTGAACTCGACAGCTGGCGAGAATATTTCTTGAAGCATATTAATATCGTTAGCGGATTCCGCTATCGAGTTACATAAAAATTATTACAGGATAATCACAGAGAAATAAAAAATGAGGAGATCTAGTCCCTGAAATGGCAAAAAAACAACATAAGTAAAAACATAATATTTAATTTTCATTACCTAAAAACAACTTTAATCGGACTATTTACATAATATTATTTCATTACAATATTACCTATCATTATACAGCTCATAAATCTATATAGTTTTAAAGGACTTAACGTCAATAATTTTATTATATTATGATGGTAGATTTAAAATATATTTTAATACGATTTCATTTTCGCTACAATAAGTATGATTATTTTGGGTAATATGGAAAATTTAATTTAGGAACTATTATTCATATTTGTTGAATTTAAAGTTTTCAATGAAAAATTTGTTTAAAGCAGGATCTACAAAACAAGTAACTTTAACTTTTCTTTAAGAAAAAAACAAATAACTATTTCAATATAAATATTAAGAAATCTAGGTGTATTCTTGGCTGATTTAAGAAATGAAAGATAGAAATGAGGTAATGGCACACATAAATGTCCTAAATAGTATCATAGTGTACTACCATGTGTGTACCAACCCGTCTGTCCGCGATATGCAAATAAAACAAACAAAAATTTTCCACTCATTTTTCATCTAATTACCTGTTGTAGTATAAAATAACGTAATTAAAAAGTAGCTTCTTATTTATCTTATTTATTACCATGCTTAATCTAGCCACATACTTGATAGCGGTACGATAAACGAGGTTAGTTTTAATTTTCACTTGTATTAAATACACCACTAGTTACGGAATATTAGCACAAATAGAATAACTATTTTATAAAAAAAAAACTGGCGACTCACCCTCTGTCGACTCGAGTGCGCCCCTAGTTACTTAAAAAATGAGGGGTGGGGTAGGAGGGTGAAATATACTTTTCCTACCTATTCTCATACCTACCATATTTACCAAAAAAATCATCAAAATCGGTCGAGCCGTTTCAGAGGAGTGCGTCCACAAACACTGTGACATGAGATATTTATATATTAGATTAGAAGATGTGTTTAGTCCTATTTTTATTAATAGAAGAAAGCAATAAATAAGTGTAATAATAATATATGTATATCCCGTATCCCGCCTCTGTTTTACCTTCATTTGCCGTTCGGTAAAAGTTATGGTAAGCCGACCACAATACGGTGCAAGACATTATCCCAACTTGTAAGGCTCATCTTGTCAGTCGGAATTAATTTCAAGGTTAGACTGTTGAAAAGGTGAACGTGCCTCATGAAGTAGTGTGGTTTATATGCACAATATTTCATTGTATTTATTTCGTGTGCGTATATTTATTTATTGTTCATACGCAATGGTCAATGATCTTTAGATAATTCTATACTTAGAGGTGGACCACAACCGCTGTCTCTCAATTTGAGAAGGAAGATAGTCTTTCTAGAAAAGTCACTCTCGTGATGTTGAAAATTATATATAACTAGCTCGTGTTCGTACCTAGTAACGTTTTAACGGTTAGTACAGATTTTTTAGATTTTATATTATCTCGCAGTAAAAAGTATCATTTACCTTAACCCGGATATCCAACTATCATCATACCAAATTTCATCAAAACCTGTCTAGTGGTTTTCTTGTGATGCGTTCCGAGACAGACAGACAGATAGACATACAGAAATTCTGAAAACTATAGAGCCTCTGTATCAATAAGAATGACTATTTTAAGAGCAAAGGTTTTGCATGGGATTGTGAATCTAGTATTTTTTTGATCGATGCTCGCTTTACTTAATAATATGTTCGTTAACTTTTTAGTGTGTAGAAATATATTTTTTAGAAAATACATAAATAAAGAGTTATACTAACGATTGGTCGAAAACGTCATATAAGTAAGTACGGTGCCTTTAAAAATGAAGTGTAAATTCTCCTCACATTGCTACTTGTAACACTTTGTATACGTGCAAAAGTCTGCCACTGACTGCCATTACTTGTTCTTTGTATTAATTCCATACGTAGCTATTACACACAAATATTTATTAATGTAACCTCCATACAAAAAACAAGTATAATACTAGAGGTATTTTAATGCTAGTTTTGTTTTGTTTTTTTTCGCACCAAAAAGAAAGCCAATATAAATTTTACAATTATTGGGTATATGTATGTATGTATTTACACACAGTCTAATTAATTTTCCTCAAAATATCGACAAAACTCGTTTACCAACGATGCAGTGGCTTCGATTTAAAATTTTAATTATAAGTATACTAATTCATGAGACAACTCACTTTATATGGATACTAAGTTTTTTTTTTTATAAAGAGTCCTCACACTGTATACTTTTTAACAGCAGTTACTTTAATCGTTCAAAATCAGTATAAACTTAATATTATTATACATCTGCCTAAAGAGCTAATATTACACTAATTTTAATTAAATAACGGCAAAAAAAATATCCAACTTCATACTAATTGCGAACCTTCGAAACTCTAAATTATCTACTGATAAAAAGACTTTTTAGTATGTAACAACACTTTAAAATGAATAAAATATTCTTCGCAATACTTTAAACAAATGTAAAAATGGTAATTTAAAATTTATTTATTTATATTTAATTATTAATTTATTTAATTAAACATGTTTTCTTTCAGGAACTTTTCTAGTGAGTGGTAAAAGTGCAACCATACACCGATGAGGCTGTGGTCCTCGTCCGTGTAAGTCTGTAATGAAAATTATTTTAATTGTTTAATATCATTATAACTAGATTTTTCTGCGGCTCCGTTCGCTTAGTCTATTTATATATAACTAAATAAAAAATATGTTGGGACATTATCACATTGCAACGGGACTCGAACCCGGGACCGCTGGCACAGCAAGTAGGGTCATTACAAACTGAGCCAACGTGTCGTCTAAGTACTTTTTCGATACTATAGTGGGATGTTTAATAGCCTATAACATCTAAATAATCGGGCTATTAAATGCTAAAAAGATTGTTCAAATTAAAAAATTCAACTAGTGTTTCCAAAGATTAGTGTGTTTAAATAAAAAAAACCTTTTCAACCCCTTAAGGGATGATTTCTGGGCTAAAAACTATCCTATGTCCTTTCCAGGTATCAAACTATCTCCCATACCAATTTATACAAATAATTTCATCTAAATCGGTTCAGCGGATTAACACCTCGCGGTTAATTTCTAAGAAATCATTTGTTCACCGAGCCACCTGTGGCTCAACAGTCGCTTTCAGGTTAACCTGTCAGTAACTGATCCAAGAATATAACAGACAGAATTACTTTCGCATTTATAATATTAGTATGGAATATGATGTGAAACGGGATGTTTATGGTAACTGGTGTATCACTGAGTTTTTTGTTCGCGATATTTCGTTATGACCACGGACATACATGGAATACATGTAGTATAATATTAGTGTGGTGTTGGCACATATCCAATTTTATATCATTATAATATTATCAGTTACCATGAATAGACTTTATTATATTATTACAGATATTAATAACTGCCGCTTTGGAGGAGCTATCATGTACGTCTGCAGACCTAATGGTCCTGGGTTGGAATCCCGGATCGGGCCTAATTTAGTTTGACTCTTTTGCCTTGTGGGCTTGAATTAACTATAAGCTACATTTTATCTCATTACAGTCTTGTACTATTCTTCTCATAGTTGATAGAAAATACGTCGATAAAAGAGAAAAATGAAAAAAATGAGAAAGCCCATTTTAATTGTAATAAAATATACAAACCATTTGATTAAAGTAGATATCTCGTATTTGAAGCGCTCTTGATAGTAACATAGAGTGTTGGTAGTGCACGTTGTCGTCCTCAGTACCGTGGACCAGTAAATACTTTTTGTTTATAAATCCCTCCAACTGTAGATGATAAAATTTAATAGTTTATATTTTATCCTTAACTAAACACGTTTTTCTTACAATATCTGTTCTTATTTTAAATGTTATGTAATATTATGTTAATGTAATATAGATTTAATAATTTCTTCAATACAAAATCAATTTGGAAATAGCATTTAAATCAAGTTCATGGTTGTATCCCCACCACATGCAGTACACCACAGGTGATTAGTATCACCTGTGGTGTATTGCATGTTAGTTAAGGCGATTAAGTTGTGTTAAGGCGATAATAAAATTTAATGATAATAAACACTAACAAAAATGTATATCACTCTCACCAAGTCTCATCCCATATCTACCCACCTTTAAAAGTTCCAGTAAACTCAAATATTGTCGTACAAACAGACAGAAAGGGGCTTGCATCGTACTAACAAAACTCCAATAAAAGAAAACTTTAAAAGCTTAAAATAGCAGAAATTTAAACTAAAAGATATAACTATCGCCATCTATCGGTAGAACAAAATAAAAGTGCAACGCCATCTATTAGTAATTATTGGAACTTCATACTCACCACGTCTTCAGCTAGAAGGGAAGAGTTTACGTAACTCTGAGCGTTGTTTTGTGGAACGTCCATATATCTCTCCGTGTAGATGGTGTCTTTAAAGAAAACAAATAAATTTAAATAAATGATTGTTGAATGTTATAACGTCTGTAGGCTAAATATAAATCAAATATGATGTATATATTATAAATCAAATGATAATTCAAAATAGTAAGCTGTACGTATTGTTTACTAAAGTAGTTACAAAATGCATATGAAATTATATACGGTAAGTACTTATAAGAAAAACACAATTTTTAAATGTTTGTCTGTCTGTTTGTTCCGAATAATCTCTGAAACAGCTGCACTGATTTTGACGGGACTTTCACTGAAAGTTAGCTGATGTTATAGGGAATAACATAGGCTACTTTTATTTTAGAAAAAGAATAAGGGTTGCGCTCCAAAAAATGAAAACTTACCTAGGGACGAACCCGAGCGAAGCGAGAGTGAGTCGCTAGTAGCTAAATATATTTCATATAATACGTAGCAGTACAGAATTCTTGATATATGAATCAAAATAATACTTTATTATAGAAACATCAAACACAATTGGCACGATATCTATAGCACATCACTGTTTTAGGGCCATCTATTGTGCATTTTCTAACTACTCGAAATAAATAAATAAATATGATGGGACATTAATACACAGCACCATCTAGTTCCATGGTAAGCTACGAGGCCTGTGTTATGGATACCAGATAGTTGATACACTACATACAAATAACTTTAAATACATGCATATTATAAATATAAACACCCATGACTGGAGTATAAACATTCGTGCTCATCGTACAAATGAATGCCTCCAGCGGGATTGGAACCCGCGACTGCTGGCACAGCGAGTAGGGTCAGTACAAACTGAGCCAAACGTATCGTCAGACTTCTCACTCACAATTCGACTCAGACTCTGTATATTTTCTTTTTGAATATGCAATAAAAATCAAATTAATTCTTTCATCTTGTTACCATAGTAACACTAATTAACAGCAGGAATATTTAAGCTATACCAAATTAACTTCCACATAAGTCTACAAAGCTATAATATTACATATCGAATTCATTTATTCGCTGCCTGTTGACAAAATCGATTTTTTCCGGTTTGAGCTGTTGACCATTTCAGGCCATCATCAAGCTCTTAAAACAAATGCCCTATCGTCTTATATAGTAGTGTACCTATCGTTTATACCTACAATGTTCTACCAATTTTAAGTATATTTACTAATCAGAAAAAACCATAGAACTTGGCTCCCACTTATACATACCGTTATTTAATTATTTAAATAAAGACCAGTACAAAACATCCAGTTACCATAGTAACGCCAGTCAACAACAGGTGCGACAGCAATGCCGCAGCTAAAGACATCCCCGCCGCGAGCCAAAGCCATGGAGGCCGCGTAGCCGCCGTACGACCAACCCCATATACACGTGCGGTTTCGATCCACCCATTGTGTGTTTTGTTGGAGATATCTGGAAAATTATTATTAATAATATTATTATTATTATTTACCCTCTTATGGGATAAATATCAAAAAATGTTAAAAGTCGTATTTATTTAATTATATTGAAGAGCACTAATGCCAAATTTCAAGTAATTTTGACCGTAAATATTTTTGGGTTGTATTATAACGTGTTTTCCCGTGGGAATGAGATGATCTTCTTCGGTAAAAGTTGCTTATGTAATTCTCCAGCCCTCCAACTATCTCCACACAAAAAATTATGTCTATCCGTCACTCTGTTTCGACGTGAAAGAAGGACAAACAAATATAAAAACACTTTCACATTATATTAGCATGTATATACGAACTAGAGACTTATCCTTTACTCCTTACTCCTTCATATTCTACCTATATAATTTCAACTAAATCCGTCTAACATACACAGAAATACAAAAATTCGCAATTTTAATGGTAGTGTGGCTTATCTTCACGGGAACCGGAGATTTTTTCGGTACCAGTGTGCGCGCGCATCACTTATAATATAACTAGAAGTATAACTTCAAAAACATGCCTGGCTGACGAGGGAAATTCCTTAGTCGAAGCTTAATTACTTTGTTACTGGAGCAAAAGCGTGATTAAAGACATATGTACCTAGCAACAGCGATCTGGTCTTCAATCTCCACAGTGCCGAGGCGGCGGTTGACGGCGAAGGCGTGGTCGACGCCGCGCAGGCCGGAGCCGCGGCCGTCCACGCGCGCCACCGCGATGCCGTAGCGGCTCACGAGGGAAGTCCCCCAGTCGATGCTCCATTGCTTGGTCACCGCCGACGTGTCCGGCCCTCCGTAGCTGCGGGGTTAAAAGACCGACTGTTGAGTTTCTCGCCGGTTCTTCTCAGCAGAACTGCACTCCGAGCCGATGGTAGATTCCTCACGGACTGACTACACTTACATTTAATTTAAATTTAAAATGTAAAATTGACGATTCAAAAGAGCTTTGAAAAGCCCATTTGAATAAATTATATTTAGATTTTAATTTAAAATTAATTGAAGAGGTTAGGAACAAAAATTCAAATTTCTAGAAAAAAATCCGGAACAAATAGTTATGTTTTTATTCAGCCACAATAGTGGCTAGGACTTCCATGTGAAAAAGTGCCATTTTCTTAATAAATCGTCCGACGTTGTTAAAGTTGGATCAAAACGGGTACATTTCCTTGCAAAATATATCGATTTTTCAATAAATCTAGTTGTGTGTTGATTATGTCGATACTAGAATTGATAAGTCTACCTTGATAAACGTTTAAAAAAATGATAGCATAACCGACCTAAAACGCACATGCATAGAAAAGAAACTTGTGAAAAGTAAAATTGAAATAGTGGTCAAAAGTTTTAGAAACTTTAGATTTTAAAGCGTTGGAGAAGAAAAGGGTAAAAAACTATTAAAGCAAAAATCCAACTTGACCAATGCCAAAGTAGCGGAGAAAGAAATAGGCCATTTTATCAAAGGTACGAAGAAAAAGGATGTGGAAAGATTAATGGTTAAAAAATTTAAAGAACCTTGGACCAGGAGAACCCAAACCTTGAATAAGGACTCATATGTAAACTAATATAAAGCTAAAGATTTTGTTTTACACAAATCAATTACGCAAGCGAAGCCGCGGGCAAATGTTAGTGATTATTAATTGCCTATATAGTATAATACTCGTATATATTGAAATTTTGTACGGAAGTTTATTTTCAAAGTTAGAAACTCATAATATTTTAATTGTTATATTGCCGATGGGATCCCAACAGGATCATTACTTTTTAAATAGTAATACACGGGTATACAGCCACAGAAACTAGATGTTACTATAATAATTAAAAATATAATAATTTTCTAATTTATTATTTAAGTGATTCTATACAGAAAACTTAGTAAGTTTTGTTCTGTAAATAGATATGTTGACTTCTTTAACTCAACATAACTTTAATAAGAAATTAACATCGTTTAAACTCTAAGAAAAACAAAACCAACGTATTATCATCGAGTAAAGTAAACAAGTGGTAATGTGAGAACGTCTGCGCCTGGAAGATAGGCGCCCGAAGGCATTGTCCTGCGCAACCTTATAGGCATGTTTCGTATAATACTTTCTTAGATTTACGGGAATATTTAACATTTTAAACGGGAGAGACTACCGTGACCACTATTGCTGCAAAGAATTTGAAACGTCGGGAACCAAAAATCAAAATAAATCCGCAAAAACCCCGAAAAGATAGTTTTATTTAAAGCATGTTTCGTTTAAAAAAATATATAAAAAGCAGACAAGAGGACTGCCGAAGGAAGTGAAAACTTAAAACTATAAACAGACAGTTGTTATTTTTGGAAATTCTAATTAATTGTTTGATCTTAAATTAAAATTTGTAAATTAAAACTGTTAACATTTATCTGCTTTTGACATCTATCGGTACTGAGTGTTAGCAAACACGTCACGTGACCATGTCGAGGACGACTTACATGAATTTACCACCCATCCAAACCTGGCTATAGAAGTTTTCACTTCAAAAACAAAAAGCAAATTAAATATACTTACACATAAATCAAAAGCGGTACATCAGACCGAGTTAAATAATTAGATGGTAGTGTTAAAAGGACGTCAGCGTCCGGGAGGCCGACGCCCAAAGGCACTGTTCTACGCAACTTTATAGGCATGGTGAGTTTTGATGCGAACTGCGTGATCAATGAATTGTCCTCCCATACATTAATTAATGTGCCGTTCTGAAAATGTAAATATAATTTTTATACATTTCAAAAAATGAGCTGGTATTCTACTAGACTCTCGAATAATGCTTAAAAGGTTTCGATGATATTTTAAAGAATAGGCTATGTAATAGTTTCATGAATAAATTCCACCTGTAATATCTACTCGTAGGGTAATGGAAAATTGGTGTACTTTTTTAGTTTTGAAAAATAATAATTATTAAACTATACTAATAATATTATAAAGAGGTAACGTGTGTGAGTTTGTGAGTTTCTGAGTTTGTAGGGAGTAATCTCTGGATCTACTGAACCGTTTTAGATGAAATTTGGTAAGAAGACTTATTATTCCGGAAAAAATCCCTTAAGGGGGGTAAAAAAGGGGATGAAAGTTTGTATGGGGAATCAACCTAGGGACGAACCCGAGCGAAGCAAGGGTGAGTCGCTAGTATTATTATAAAGCAAAAAGTCATATTAAGTCATTTGTTCTAGTTCTTATCAATTGTTCTGCTTTATTTTCGCAATGAAATAGCACAAGTAAGATGTCATATTTGTATTTACATTGAATAAGTTGTTCTGACATTGAAACCCAATCAAACTTTTATTCTCAACTTCTATTCCAACTAAAAATAATCAATCACAAAACTTTTGGAACTAACGGCAACTAAAATAGAACTTACCACATCGTAGATAAATATTTGAGGTATATCAGGTCCTGCACAATGTATCGCAATCCGGGACCCGGGACTGATATTGGCTTCATTATACAAGCACTGCCCCCCGTCTGATCGTGCAACGTTACAAGTAAAGCACGACAACTCATCAGTTGCAGATAGCGAGTAGATATGCTGTTCTGTTGTGTCATTCTCACTGGTTGCTTTATACCAACTGGAATTTAATAAATAAATAAATATGTAGACTGTTTGTACGCTTAGATCTTTTAAACTACGCAACGGATTTTAATGTAGTTTTCAGCAATAGATAGAGTGATTCAAGAGGAAGGTTTATATTATATATATGTATAATACATACATATTATATTTATACTAGCCGTTCAATAACATATCAATAATATATTAAATAATAATATTATAAATAATAGGTATTATTAGATTATTCTATATTAAGAGAATGGCCGTCTTATGATTAAAAGCAGTAATGGTAACAAAGAAACTTTGATGAGACTATGAAGGTAAGGTGCAATTATACATAAATTACCATAACTATAATACTGAATAAATTATTAAAAAAAATTGAATATTTTTCATTCTCCTTTATTGTTTAGTATCAAGAGAAATTAAAAAATAATAATAAAAGAAAACTCTTTTAACAAATGAAACTTAGATTCATACATATAGTATAAAATATATGGATTTTCCTTTAATTTCGATAAAGCGATTATAATATATTTTAAATGAGAGAATTGTACAAAAATTCAAAGTAAAACAGCAGTAGCTCAGTGGTAACGCGCTAGCTTGTGAAACCAAGTGAAGCGGGTTCAAATTTCGAGTCTCGTACCCCTGATATTGATGATGATTACCACTAGCCCAAAGGTGAAGGACAACATTGTGAGGAAACCTTCATATCTGAGAGAACCTAGCAAATGTGAAAGCCATACTCAGTCCGCCCGCACTTGGCCAGCGCAGTGGACTATGGCCTGATCCCCCTCGTATTGAAGGGAGGCGCGCGAAGTGACTGTCCAGTAGTAAAAGGGCTGAATAAACGTAAGTCAAATATATAATGAAAACTTACATAGTATCGGCAGGAGTCCACGATAATATTTCTTGTACAGTATGAGCCACATTAGTACGACGTCTGGATGTCCACACGTTATTAGCTTGAGATACTTGTATAATTTGTTTATAACGGACGCCATTTACGCTCTAGAAACAATAAATAAATATATATTTATAATACCATCAAAGAGTATAACGAAAGAAGAATATACAGTGTACATATATGTACAGTGTTTTATTTTGTAGGTACATGTATGCATGGTATAATTATTTTTCTATTGATGCCACTCACACACACTCTGTGCCACTGTCGTCAAACTCCTAAATGATTTCCAAATGCTACAAACTTTCGAACATGAGGTTGCCTTTAATCTTAGCTTTAATACTTAATTAGAAAGTTGTACTGCCATCTTGTGGCAGATTTTAGCAAAATGAACAACACAACAATCTTATCTACTTAAATAAGTTAAATGAATTAAAAGTTTCAAATTGATTGCAAATTAGATTAACGAATATTTGGTATTTTGTACAAAAGAAATTTTGAAATTGTAAAAGTTAAATGTAAGATAAAATATTACCCACCTCAGGCAAGATGGTGAGAAAAGCATTGCCTTGCTCGTTGAAAATCATTGGAATGTTATCGATCCAACCATTCGCTTCTGTGTATGTGTATATCTGAAATTATAATAACAATTACTCATTAATATACTTTAAATGTATAAAAATTCGATTCAGCTAGTGCTATATTATAGATGATTTTTTTCTTATCGCAAACATTGTGTTTGTTTCTGGTAGAATACTAATTGTTCAAAAATCTAAAAATGTAAATATTACTTTTATTAAAATTACTTTTTCACCTGTTTCATCGTGAAAAAGTAACAAACACACATACAAACAAACTTTTGATTTATAATAGTAGATATGTGTAATAAGCCCTTTTTTATTTATTTTAATGTACCACTGCTGGGCACGGGCCTCCCTTCAATACGTGGAAGATCAGGCCATAGTGTGGGACACCATGTTCGCCAAGTACGGATTAACGACTCCACATGTCTTTCGATACGTTGATAGGTTCGGTCAGACATGCAGGTTTCCACACGATATTTTTCTTCACCGTAAGACAAGTGGTAATCATGTTGAAAATGATTCGCACATGAAAATATCAGAGGTGCGAGACCCGAGATTTGAACCCGCTTCACTCGGTTTCCAAAGCGAGCGCGTTACCAATGAGCTACCACTGCCTTTATTTTAATAGTACTGCTACCAAATATTATAATTACCGTAGCGCATGTACTCGTTGCGTCATTGCAGATGTCTACTTGCAGTGTGTTCTGCACGCGGTTGGTCCACATAATAGCGATTGAATTAACTCCAACGAACGCTACAGCTTTTAAGATTGCCCTGAAATTTATATTATACAATAGATATTATATAAACTCACACATTTTAGTATTGTAATTATTTAATTAATAATAATAATAATAAAAAAACGAATTATTATGAAGTTTCTTATTTAAGAAACTTCATAATAATTCGTTTTTTTAATATACTCCATGCTTTTTTCTTTATAGGGCAGATGTAGAGATCTTTCATACGATTAAATCACATATAATGACTAACTAGTTAATTTCTTTGCATATCACTTTTGTTATCCGCAATCTAAAGAGATAGACAATTCGCAAGCCAAGCAAAGATAAATTATAGTCTAAGATAAAGTAGACCCCTACGTGATTTTCTGAAATGGCTACTATCAAGCTGACATCGAAGAAGCTCGTTTGGAGACGACCAACTTTTTTCTTTACGAAAATTATCGACATTACTAAGTAAAACTCATGATAGGCACTAATATAAGACATGTCGAGTGGTGACTGTTCAACTCCATTACTAACAGTTAATTATTTACTTTAATCTTAGAACGAATCTTAGAAATAAGTTACGGGAAAAACTTTTATTCTACCCAATACCTACTGTCTTACATGTCACACTGTACAATAATGATCATCAATCACATACGTAAAGTTTCATTCTACTAATTTACTAATTTCGGTCACATAATATCATATTATTGATATATAATATGATATATCATGTTATATACCATATTATATATTATATTATATACATTATAATAGTAAGCTAGTGATTCCACCTCGCTCCGCTCGGGTTCGTCCGTATGAGAGATGAGATATATCACATACCTAAAGTCTCATTCTACTAATTTACTAATTTCGGTCACATAATATCACATTATTAATATATAATATGATAAATCATGTTATATACCATATTATATATTATATTATATACATTATTATAATAAGCTAGTGACTCAACCTCGCTCCGCTCGGGTTCGTCCGTATGAGAGATGAGATATATTTCCGTAGTAAAATGTATCCTATATGTTGACCCGGATAAACAGCTATCATCATACCTCATCAAAATCTGTCCAGTGGTTTTCTCGTGTTGCGGTCACAGACAGACAGACAGACATGAATTCTTAATACTATGTGTATCGGTAATAATGACTAATTCGATAAGATTTTCCAAAAAATATTTAATGTATTGAATTTTATTATATGTATAGAAAACGATAACTTACTCATTGAGATTCGTCGGTGCAGCAAATGTAACATTAGTATTAGCGGCGGTATCCCAAATACTAACAGTTACATTTGGATTCGTGGTACCAGTCTGAAAGAATAAGACTTAACATTTAATGTTATGTGTACAGAAACATACGGGTTACATATAACTAAAATGCAATATGTACCTATACACTAGATTCACCTATTCTTAACTAACCAACAAGTTTTAACATTCTATTAAATACTTTACTAGTTAGATATTTGGATAATCTTATACTAATAAATGTAGAGCCGATTTTTTGTTCGGTTATACTGCGATAACTACTGAACCGATCGGAATAATACTCATATCATAAGATGCAGCGTGTTTTGGAGAAGGTTTTAGTATATGATATGTTGATGATTAATGTACTATGCGGGCGGAGCCGCCTGAAAACGCTAGTAATTCAATAAGTTAGTAGTATGTTTACATTATGGAAGATATTATCTTTCTCTTTCATGGCTAATATGATGTATGAAAATTAAATAAATATTTCTATAGAATTGCTTAGTCTCTTGCGAGATCAAACCGTTCGCATATAAACACGTAACCTAACAGCAAGGTGGTTCAAAAATTGTTAAAATATTTAGGATAAACAAAAAACTGTCAACAAACTAAGTTTTAATCAGTATTTTTATATAGTACTAGCATTGCCCGCGGCTCCGCCCGCGTTCAGATGACCAAAAACTAAATTCTTAGGTGTTACATATTAGTATACTCTTACATTGCAGTTTTTGTATTTTTCCTCAGAAATAAGATATTTTCCCGCGGTAAAAAGTATCCTAGGATCGCGCGCTACATCGCCCGGTTTATATAGCTTGAGCAGGCGGTCGAGCGATGCGGGGCAGAGGGGATGGACTCGCCGTAGGCATCTCAATGCTCGCCAAGCATTAAAAATGTTTCGCTACTAATTACTTCTAACAACGATATCTCAAAAACTATTCATCTGATTGATTTAGTGTAAAGAGCAATTTTAATCTGCATTAAATGACTAAGCTAACTAAAATATTCATTTGGATAAGGATTAATACCGAACTAAAGAAAATAACTTTGAAAATAACGTAATGTTTTTAATTAAAAATGTTAACATAAAAGTGGTTATTGTAAGTCAACCGTAAGAGATAGAGATATGCTATCGCGGACTTTTTTGTAGCATTTTTATAGATTTTGAATTCTCTAGTACATTACTTAACTGTATCTTTGCTAGTTTACGCGGCGTTCGCGTGGAAAGTTCCCATTTGGCGAGATTTTTTGCGACCTCTTCAACATTTGTCGCCGTATTTCAGCTAATTTACATAAAAGCATAATAAATTATATACCTAAACCTTCCTCAAGAATTACTCTTTCTATTGTTGAAAACCGTATAAAAATCCGTTCAGTAGTTTTCGAGTTTATCGCGTACAGACAGACAGGAGGACAGACAGGAGGACAGAAAGACGCGGCCGGGGGACTTATTTTTATAATAAGTATAGATAGCAATTGTAACCATGATTCAGTCCCATGGTTCAGCTCATGTGGTAGGTACATTGTACGACAAAAAATAGCCTATGTGCTATGTAACTTTAATTTGCTTAAAATTTTTTTTTCAAAGCTTGGAAGTGAAAAAGTGCTCTTGCTACTTAATTTCCCTCTAAACTTCCACATAATAATATTAATGTTTAGTGTCACTACTAACCTAATTATTAAATTAAAGGTGGATAGGTACCAATATCTTTTACATTGACGCAATTTTTTGCAACGGCCGATACATATATTTAATATTAAAATATGGCATTCGACTTTATACGTAATGCCAACTAGCTCTATTGTAACCGCTCCTATAATCAAATTTTAGACAAGATGTTAAAGTTATTACAATATATAAAAAAAATGGTGTATAACCTTTACGAGCGGTTGAAGTAAAACTTCTTCGACACTGTGGCAGATACCGCAATGAAATCAAAACAAATCAAAATATCAATATAATATTTTTTATAAATTTATTACCTCTTTTTTTTCAATTTTTTCAATTTCATCTTAATCGGTTTAGCAGATCCGGAGATTACCCCCTATAACCTCACAAACTCACAAACTTTACCTCTTTATAATATTAGTATAGATAAATATGTATTTTTATAAATAATAATTATTATTATAAAATTATTAAAAATATATATATATATATATATATATATATATATATATATATATATATTTATAAATTATAATTATTATGAAGATATTTAATCATATATATTTTTTAATTATTAACTCTCACTTCCGCGAGACTCATTTTTCCAATGTATTGACTTACCCCTCAATCACGCTAAACAAATTTTACTTGAAAAACTTTATTTACTTTTAATAAATGTCTCTTCAGAAACAATTTTATACGGCTTACGATCTGAAGCAATCAATACGCACAGAATACGCTCAACGACACTTGATTAAATCCCCCGAACCATGAAATTCGAGCATATTTCATTTCGACGAGATTTATGAAAAGACTTTGGAGATCGAATATGATTATGTATAATTTCCTTTCCGTTAATATATTATAATTATGTTTCAATAAAAATCGGCCAAGTGCGAGTCGAATTCCCACACGAAGGGTCCCGCGTACCCTATTTTGTTTCTATTAATATGATATTTACTATATATGTACGTAGTAAATAAACTTTGCTGATCGATTACAAACTTAAAAAAAATGTTTCTTGTATTTTTATTTTTATTATTTGTTGTTATAGCGAGTTTATTATTAGTGAAAATTTCAACTCTCTACCTATTACGGTTCATGAGTTACCGCCCTCTGACAGACGGACGGACGGACGGACGGAAGGACAGCGGAGATATAATAAAACGGTATGTCAAGTGAAACAAAAATAATTTAAAGACAGAAGCTTCCTTATATTAGAGGGTATCCTAAAAATTATGAATTTAAAAAAAACTTGAATCAATTGTTACAGAGACAATAGAAACCTTAATAATATATAGAACATTCCTGTCACTTTTTTTTAAATTGTGTCATTTAAATTCGTAAGACTTAAGATATTTATGTTAAACAAAAACAAAACAGCTCGTGCTTATTGCTGTATTTATTCTCCTTAAGATAAGTGAGGAAATAATTGGTATAAATTTCAATTGTTAGATTTGTATCTGGTGTTAGTACAAGATTTTTGCTTTGTTGAGGAAAACTCATGTAATAATAGGTATAGCTAATAGAGGTAGCTATATTAAAAACCCAACACACTTATTTTTTCTTCTTTATAACTTGCGAAAATTATAGTTATCTTTTATACGTTTATTAATAATTAAAATAATTACTTTTAAAATATCATGAAAAAACAATAGAAAATCGAAAAAGAATATTTTATTGTAACTATTAGATAAACCATTTCCGTAACACGATATCGCCATATTGTATGTTTACGTAATAAGAGAAATATCCAATTTACTCTAAGCTTCCTGAAAAATAAAATGAATAAGCTGACAAGCAAAAACGTACTTTGTAATTTTTTGCACAATTTCCGCCTAACATTTTAAAAAGACGTACCTATGTAAAGCTAGAAAGGCAAAGTGAGCAGAATCGCTTAAAACTATTTCCATAAATTAGTGCTCATTTAGTGCTCATTTAGTGCCAAAAACTATAATCTATAATATAAAAATGAATAGCTAAATGTGTTGATAAGCGCAAATTTCGAGAGCAGCTGAATCGATTTCGCTAATTCTTTTTTTAGAATATTCCTTGAAGTACGAGGATGGTTCTTACAGAGAGAAAAATTTAAAAAATTGCCTGAAAAAGTCTAAAAACAACTTTTCTATACTCCCATACAAAAGATTCGTAATAATACATAAAAGTCAATTTGAACTTTAAGACCATACCATAAAGTTTAAATGTTAGTGGAGAGGTTCCGGGAAGGCAAAACAATTGAGTGACGTTAGTATCGTATAAATATTAATGTCAATATTTGTCAATATTATTAACAAAAAAATATATATGACTAACGCTGGCTAATAACTATTTATATCTATTTAAAACGTACCTAGCGACGAACCCGAGCGAAGCGAGGGTGAGCCGCTAGTTTTTTATATTTGTCTTCATGGATGGCCAGCACTAATTGAGCACTAAATTAATGCTTAATTATTTGACGCTGTGTTATGCGGTTAGCGTATTAGGCGGTAACACTGCTAGTTTAACTAAATGCTATAAGTTTTTTAATTTTCTGCCAAAATATAAGAGCGTCAAATTTTAGCTTCAAAATAAAAAAAGAGTAGAAAAGTCCGCAACATCAAGCATCCGCAATAATATCATCATCTCCTAAGGTAAACTTGCAACAACTTTTTATATTTATAACGTACCTATAAGTATTAGTTGTAAATAAAATTATTATCGTTATTATCAAATTAATAAGCGTAAAATATACATACCTTAGGATAACGAATATCTCTGTGACTAGTGTATTGGGAGTCTACGGAGCCAGGTACACCGTAATGCGGGATCTTCATTATGCGTACATCAGTGTCATCGAATGTAGCATAAGCAATTTTAGCACCATTGCTCGAAAACCAAATGACTTTCTTGTCTCCGAATATCTCCTCTGAAAAAATGTTTATTGTTAAATGAAAAATCCATACTTCCATACTAACATTATAAATGTTAAAGTGTGTATGTTTCATTGTCCTTCTATCACGTCAAAACAACGTGACGGGCGTGATTTTTTGTGTGGAGATACTTGGAGGGACGGAGAGTGACATAGGCCAGTTTTTACCGCGGGAGATTATCTCATTCCCACGAGAAAACACGTTATAATACAACCAAAAAAATATTTATGATCAGAATTACTTGTAACTTGGTATTAAATATTAATACTCTTCAATACTATTAAATAAATTTAAATAATTATTATTAAGTACCCTAGTGCTGCATAAATAATTTCGTCTCTAAAGGGTAAAAAGTAGTCGTTTTTTCGTTTATAAAAATAAAATATTTTGTCAACTTAACTACTTATTTAGTTTTACTTATTATTAGTAGGTACGGATTTACTAACTACATAAGTTTATTGAAAAAAATTACAACGAATTTTATAATTCATAAAATGTAACTAAATACACCTTTTGTATTTTGATTTGCTGACATCAAATATCAAATCAGATTAAAATTTATTTAAGTTTGTTTATATATATTTAGCAAATTTCTCCTAAATATATAAACGTGTAAATAAATTTATATAAACACAAAGCATACCTTATAAACATTAATAAAAATTTTATACTAAGCTTATAATAGCTACAATCAACAATCACTCACCTTCATATACCCAATCAGGCACGCCGTTGTATACGACGTGCTTTACTCCATTAGTCGTGACCTGCTGGGGTGGACTTGTTAAAGACGATTGGTAGTAAATATTATTCTCATACACAAAAATCAAGGCAGTGCCTGAAGGACCCCACATGATGTTCTGTAACGTCGCATTCTGAACTTCAACTCCTGGAGGAACTATATAAATGATTTCATGGGTAAGTATGTCAATGGCCGCGTACCGAGCTTCAAAACTGTATCTGTATATCTAGAAAAAATAAAATATTATCTATTATAGTAATTTCACTCTAACTGGTTTTAAGGTCGGAGAATGAATAAACATTCTAATAATAATACTAAATTATAAATATTACATCCCATGGGAACCGAACATTTTATCCCGATGAAAAGTGCTATGTGTTATTCCAGACTATAATCTATCTCTATACCAAATTTCATCCAGATCCGTTCAGCCGTTCTGACGTTATTGAGTAACAAATATCCATCCAAACTTCCAAACATCAAAACATCTAAACTTTCATATTTATAATATTAGTAAGATTACTACATATTATAGCTCAATTTATTCTCTTAAAACGGTCAACTTCAGTGTGTGGTACACCATACGGGTACTTCTCTGACAGCAGAGTGGACTAGTTTTAGTGGGTAGTACTGGTTTTTCTAGCCGGTGAGACCTATATAACCCCTGAATATATGTAGGTGGTATGTGTAAATGCATTGCACAACATTAAAAAAAAGGTGGTTAATATCAGAACCTACTATACGGGTTCCGAAATAGTTTTCACTAATAAAAAGAGAAATATTATATAGGCTATAATTTATGAACCGATATACGAGTAAGACAACTAGGAACGCGACGCGATGCGAGCGTAAGTTAGTAATTTCATATAGGTATTTTTGGAATTAAACCATTGGTCCTCTAAAACTGTATCCTTGTTACTATAGAAAACTTCAAATTTATCATTCAAGATATAATTTATTAAACAAAATGCGACTATATAAATAAAATTAAACCCTAACTCGTGCCACTAAAAGCTTCATAACAAGGGACGTGATCTTAAATAATGCTTCCCTCCCAGAAGGATCGTCTGTTAATTTAATGGAATGCTTGGTTTACATTTTAATGATATTTACAAGCGCCGTCCGAGAAAAATGAGTTCGTCGTAAAAGGGATTTAACAATAATTACTATATCATTATATATTAAATATTTTAAAAACCCCCTACGCAAATAAATTGTTATTTAACGATTACACTGGCACGCGTGAAGCACTTAATCGAGTAATCAAACGCCAAAATGTCTTACATAATTTTGGAAAAGTGCTGATACTCTTACACTGCTGGACCAATATCAACCAAACATAGCTAAAAACCACCGCAAGGAAACTGACTTTCAAATGAAAAAAACCACATCGAAATCGGTCCATTAACACCCCTCTTTTTACGTCGGGGGTTAAAAATATATTGTAGACTTCTTAAATTATTCTATTTTAGAAATGTAAACTACAGTAGTTTAACAACATTGTAACTCGTTATTGAAGCAATTTTGGATAGTTATTATATTACTCTTTGCAGATCGATATTTATAAGGTACATAATTCGCCGTTTACGCCCATATGAACATTTCAACCTGCATACAGGACAATAGTCGTAAATCTATTCGTCCTGGAAATAAATCGTGTGGGAAATAAATCGTAGGTAATGCTTTATAATGTCTATTACATCACAATTATATTTCGTAGCAAAGTTTTTATCATTGAAAAGACAATTATTTACGTCCCGCCTAATAAGTGATTGTTGACACAAATTTCTCAAGTCAATTTAAATGACAATATAAAAATTTTATTTGAAAGAAATATTTTAGTCACACAATGTAAATAAATATGTAGTTTATTATTGTATCAGTATTTTCTCAATATAAATTATAAGCCTTTAGAAAAAATAGAAGTTAGTAACAGGTTTTTTTTAAACGACTAAAATGTGTCGTTACTTTTTCAATGAAACAATTTCTTCGAATTTGGTCACGTTTTCATTCTATATTTTAGTTCCCGAAGTTTCGAATACTTTACAGCGAGCATGGTCACGAGAGAGACTAAGGTTGTAGACGTCTCAAATTTGGGTCATTATATAGGTGTTTCAAACAGTATCAGTATCTACCCGTAAAATTACACAATTATTTGGAATTTAATCTTACTATGGGATATAAAAGATATGTGATTTCGAAGTATAAAAATAAACTAACTTGTAGATAAAATTATTGGGTGTAAGTGGATTATGACTTGTGAAAATTGAAAAAATATATACAGGGCCATTTTTAATTTACTGAAAACCTTTTGGGAATATACTATTTACATCATAACAACAACATCTGTAACAAGAAAAAATAATATTTCTTAAATTTTTATTTTCATACAAAAATAAACATATTTTTTTGCACCTTCTAAACTTTAAAGTTCTCGCATCTGGCCAAGTTTAAATGAGTAAACGCGGCTTCCTACACCCCCTCCACCCCTCCCCCTCTACCGGACACGCACTTTCTTTTGCTAATACTGGACTGTTGAGAAGGTTCAATAAAATTACTTTTATTTTTGTTAAATTTAAGATATTTTATTTTTTTTCTTACAGATGTTGTTGTTATGTTGTAAATAGTGTATTCCCAAAAGGTTTTCAGTAAATTAAAAATGACCCTGTATATTGTCATATCAAAACTTTAAGGTTTTGACTTTTGTTCCTTGGGGACTGTGGTATAAGAATTGCAATTAATAAACCTAAGTTTTATATTACATTCAGTTTCAATTATTATTAGTTGATTATAAGTTATTATTAGGTATATATATATATATATATATATATATATATATATATATATATATATATATATATACTAATCTGTTTTCTTTCTACTCCACTCCATTTTACCACGGTAATATTTATGCACTACATTACCGTGATTTTACTTTCTATAAAAATAAAATTTCAAGTTTGCCATTTTTAATTTTTTAATATACCTAAATATTTACTCACCGTAACTTCATCAAAGGACAGAACGACAAATCTTCCATCTGGGGACAACCGTGTTTCTTGCGAGGATTGTTGTAGAATCTAAAACAAAAGGATTTCATTGTTTAATAGTATTTTTTACTCAAAGAAGTAGCAGATTGCTTTCTTTGCATCATGAATAAATGTTACAAGCTATATTTTACATCTTAGGACATTTTCATAAAGTTCTAAGAATAAAAATTTGTTAAGGTAACGCCTTAAGTGTTTTCTACTTCATAAGGAAGAAAATTATCGCTGAATAGCAAAACAAATTAAAAACACGACACAATTTTCAAAGCCAACTTCATGACTATACCTATATAGATATTTTAAAATCACAAATTTGTATAGCTTTTCTGTCTGCACCTTTATCCTTATCAATGGACAAATTAGTAAAGAGAGGCGCAATTCTAAAAATTATTGGAAATCAGCACGTTTTACAATAACATTTGTATAGAATACAGTTTTTTACATTCCCAACATTTCAAGTATTTAATGTTCTTCTTTGGACACGTTACATTTTAACTATAGCTTTGATAAATATAAGTAACTAGCATTGCCATAGACCAAAAACCAAATTCTTAGTTTTTACATATTAGTATACTCTTACAATGCAGTTTTTGTATTTTTTCTCAGAAAAGAGATATTATCCCGCGGCAAAAAGTATCCTATATGTTGACCCGGATAACCAGCTATCATCATACCAAATTTCATCAAAATCTGTCCAGTGGTTTTCTCGTGATGCGGTAACAGACAGACAGACAAAAATTCTAAAAACTATAGATTCGGACTCTGTATCGATAATAATGTCTATTGCAATAAAATTTTCCAAAAAATATTTAATGTACAGATTCGACTTAGTTACAATTTTTTTATATGTATAGATAACGTGACGTAACGTACTTTAGACTATCTATACTTATTATAAAAATAAGTCCCCCGGCCGCGTCTTTCTGTCCTCCTGTCTGTCCTCCTGTCTGTCTGTACGCGATAAACTCGAAAACTACTGAACGGATTTTTATACGGTTTTCAACAATAGAAAGAGTAATTCTTGAGGAAGGTTTAGGTATATAATTTATTATGCTTTTATGTAAATTAGCTGAAATACGGCGACAAATGTTGAAGAGGTCGCAAAAAATCTCGCCAAATGGGAACTTTCCACGCGAACGCCGCGTAAACTAGCAAAGATACAGTTAAGTAATGTACTAGAGAATTCAAAATCTATAAAAATGCTACAAAAAAGTCCGCGATAGCATATCTCTATCTCTTACGGTTGACTTACAATAACCACTTTTATGTTAACATTTTTAATTAAAAACATTACGTTATTTTCAAAGTTATTTTCTTTAGTTCGGTATTAATCCTTATCCAAATGAATATTTTAGTTAGCTTAGTCATTTAATGCAGATTAAAATTGCTCTTTACACTAAATCAATCAGATGAATAGTTTTTGAGATATCGTTGTTAGAAGTAATTAGTAGCGAAACATTTTTAATGCTTGGCGAGCATTGAGATGCCTACGGCGAGTCCATCCCCTCTGCCCCGCATCGCTCGACCGCCTGCTCAAGCTATATAAACCGGGCGATGTAGCGCGCGATCCTAGGATACTTTTTACCGCGGGAAAATATCTTATTTCTGAGGAAAAATACAAAAACTGCAATGTAAGAGTATACTAATATGTAACACCTAAGAATTTAGTTTTTGGTCATCTGAACGCGGGCGGAGCCGCGTACAATGCTAGTAGAGTATAAAAAAAGTATGTGTGTCTGTCCCTGTTGTAAGCAACAATAGAGAAACGAAAATATTTTATTATTCGCTGAATATAAAGTAATAAATATGTTAAGTTACAGTCTTTTGAAACCAACCTAATTTTAAATGAAATCACTCGACACGTGTTACATCTAAGAACTTTGACAATTTAAGTTAAGTAGAACTCACGTATGAACTCTGCATATACAAAGTTTACCTCGAGGTGTGACTTAATTACTTTGATTAAGAGTATACTGTGTAATAATAATGCTTTGGTTAGTTTAAATTCTTGAGCATAAATCTTATTTATATTGTAAATCTGAAAGGTTTCTATACCATCTTTAAATATGAATATTTGACGGTGTTCAATAATGACGAAGAAAAAGTAAGGAAAAATTTATAGAGTACTTCTTATCCTGCAAGATGTGGCTTAAAAAGCCACAATTTAAAAAAAAATACTCAATATAACTGACATTGCAGATTAAAAAAATATTTTTAATAAATTTTCATTTACCACAAAACTTATTTCTTCGTGATATCTTCAAACAAATTTATTAACGACAGCAGTTTCACGTTAAAATAACTAACATTGAAAAAATCCCGTAGCATTAAATTATATTAGTTCGTAAAATTAATGCATGCATTATGAAATTAGAGACTCGCATGTTAAATTGCTAATAAAATTAGTATCGAGTAAATAGCATTACGCCACTTATTCTACAAATTAGACTTATTAGATTTTAAACGAAAACCATGCAATCGTTAAACAATAAATAAAAAAACTTGTGGTGCTTTTTACCATATTTTTCTCGTTAGTCACTTTATATATATATATATATATATATATATATATATATATATAATATATATATATATATATATATATTCTTTATTGCACTAAAAAAGTAATAAAAAAAATACATAGAAAATGATGTGGACAAAGGTGGACTTATCTCTATAAGAGATCTCTTCCAGTCAACCCATGTATGTGGGAAATAGTGTTTATATCTTTATTCTTATACTAAAAAATATTTTTTACTTTTTAGTTCGGTTCATCATTAAAGCGTGTTTTTTTAATTTTTTTAATATATATATTTATAAATTATTATATTGTCATCGGTCCTTCGTTGTGAAGTTTCGAAATGGGTAAAAATCGCGTTCAAAGATTCCGTTACATAAATAAAAAGCGTGTTATACATGTTACAAACCTACAAAAATGTAGGTTTTTTCGTATGTTATATATGAAAATTAATAGTATATCTAATACAATAACTAAGTATAAATTTAAGCATTTACCTACTAACTTACCTGAGAAGTATTTGCCACAAGAATAACTGGAGTCTTAGTAATAATATCATATAGAATCAAATCGCCGTTGCTATTTCTTAACAAAATTTCACTATCTGTAATCAATAAAGAATTTACGTTAAAATAATTTACAGATTTAGAAAATTAAATAGAAAACAGTATTAGAAGTATTTTCAGATTTTAATGAAAGCTATATAAGTATACTTATAATTTAATATTATCTTTTTGTATTAACATAATGTCATCATAATAGATACTTATATTTAAATCAAGTGTCATGTAAGTAATTCCCTTTGGAAATTGTGGTTAATATATTATAACACACTAAAGCATTTTAAGTAATAAAAACTATTTTTTTATCAGTAGGTAGGTAATATTTAGTTTTTGTTTGATTATTATATAATCATTTGTCAAAAAGTTCAGAAAAAAATCGATCCTTTGTTTCGTCCCTACATTTACCTTTTGCCAGAATTAAAAATCTCATTTGAGCGAAACGAAAGTGAGTACAAACTAACATACAAAAAAATTACCGACTGTATAGACATCGATATCTCTAAACTATATATACAATTTTATTTGAAATTATAAAATCCTACTCTAACCTGTAACCCAAGTGCCATTAAACGGTTGTGCTGCGTATGCTCCAAGAACTATTTCTTCTAAACCAATTTCATCATCAGGCTCTGTTGTGGGAGCTTGAGTTGTTGAGGTTGTTGTTGTTACTGGTGGTTCTACTGGTGTACTTATTGTTGGTGGTGTCACTACAGTTGTGGGTATCGTAGGACCTTCTGTCGGTGCTATGATAGGTTCTGCTGATCCTCCGTCATTTCCTGTTAATACTACTGCAAGAGTTATGATCACACCGATTGCTGCTAACATAGCGACGGCACCCACAGCGTATGTCACTCGTTTTGTCTTCTTAGCCGCAACTAAACCCTGTTCGAAAAACGTCTGTTACTATTTTTTTCTAAATCGTCCCAAAACAGGTAAGATTCTAAGAATATATTTAAACTCTGTTTAAAATTAACAAGATAGCCAATATTTGTCACATTGATGTATATATGTATATTATAAAATAATGTGATTACCACCCACCTTTATAGAAAATCACAATCTAAAACGTACTTAAAACACTTAACAATAATAAACTTAACTACTTATTTCAAATTAAAGATTGTTTGTACATATTAATTTAGACATTAATTGAGTGATTACATTTTAACAAAACGAATTGATTTAATTCAGTCACAGCCGAGTAGATTTAACTTGATAAATTAAAATTATCGTCGCTAAGTTGTTATTTTACTTCTGAATTCCACTACTGAATGATCCCTTCGTCTCATATTTTTTCTAGTGGTCTATTATTCAACGTTATCAGTAAGATTATCGACATCACGTCAAAGAGTTAGTGTATGTTAAATATGGAAACGATGTTTGTTATCAATAAATTCCCATCATGAATATAGTAAAAATAATTTTCAAATCAGTAAAATGTGTAATAAACTTGTAAATTATATATTTATAATTTACAAGTAAGTAACTCGAAAATTGAATGTGTATAGGTACTTGCATTAACTACGCATCATTTTTTTTTATTATACTAGCTTTTGCCTGCGACTGCCTCTGTAATAATTCTCACAGTTTTACACTAGTATAGTATTATATTAATAATTATCTGTGGTTTTACTGATGATTTAAAAATTAAGCATTAGGTAATAAGTTTGTACTGCTTATTCATAGATGGCGCTCAAGTAGTTCGGCGTTATCGCCAATTTCATCGTTTCGATATCTGTACTAATATAGTAATGACGATAAGAAGTCATGTCTCTATTTCGAATATCAAGATACTATATGCCACTAAGCTGAATCTTTTATGGAACTGGATTCTGGATATATACTGATGTTTAAATAAAACTATCTTTTCGGATTATTTCGCGGATTTATTTTGATTTTTGATTCCCGACGTTTCGAATGCTTTACAGCAATCATGGTCACGGGAGAATCTCTCCCGTCAATAATCAAAATAAATCCGCGAAATAATCCGAAAAGATAGTTTTATTTAAAATGTCGAATATTCGCGTAAATCTAAGAAAGTATTATATACTGATTTATCAGTTTAAAGACTAATGAAATTTTTCACCTAAGATAATCTTTCAAGGTTCATGAATATATAGAAATGAAAAGTGGATGATATGGTTAAAATTTTTATTTGATAAGACAATATAATGAAACCTGATCACTGGTGCCCATTTCCAGGGTGGAGTTGCTGTTTTGTTGCGCCATGGTGTGGTGTTATATCCTAAGCACCTGAAAAATAAATAAATAATTTAAAAATATGTCCAAAATACATGAAATACCTTGTGTTCTTCAAAATGTTTGCTTATATTCAACATACCAAATTTTTGTAAACATAAAATTACGACGTTGTTACTGAATGTGGAAAAATGCCTTTTTACACATGTCGTAAAAATATTAGCTACCAATTGGATGGATGAGAAACTGCACGAACAGCCACTTTTCAAAATTGGCACGTTTTGTTCACTTAGAAAATGTCAGAATAGTTAAGTTCAAATCAACGTTACGTTTATTTTTAATATCATGGGAAATCATTGACTTTTTCCTTCTTTAAGCCGCTTTTATTTAACTGCCTCGGTGGTGTAGCATGTACGGCTGCACACCCGGAGGTCCTGGGTTCGAGTCCCGGGTCGGGCCAAGTTCAGTTATTGAGTCTTTCTGTATAGTAAGCCTCAGTAACAGCCCGGAGTTGGGAAGTTGGCGGTGTTTCACCCCCGTGCCTCGGAGAGCACCTAAAGCCGTCGGTCCTGCGCCTTAACTCTCACTGGTCGTGTCGAGCAGTCGTCCCACCGGAGTATGAGAGTGACAGGAATAGAGAGTGCACTTGTGTCTGCGCGTACACTTGAGCACTATAATATCTCCTGCACAGTTGGCTAGTCTCAACGAAATTGGCCGCCGTGGCCGGAATCGGTCAGGAGAACATGATTTATACGAATGAATAAAAGCGGCTTAAAGAAGGCGGTTATGTAGAAATCGTTAAATAATTTTACTATTCGCCTACTCAACGTTCTAACAGATCAGCTCGATAGTACCTAGTTAGTGTATTCTATTTTTAACCCCCGACGCAAAACCAGAGGTGTTATAAGTTTGACGTCGATGTCTTTCTGTCTGTGTGTGTTTCTGTATCTGTCTGTGGCATCGTAGCTCTCAAACGGATGGACCGGTTTCGATGCGATTTTTTTCATTTGAAAGCCTGTTTCCTTGCGGTGGTTCTTAGCTATCTTTGGTTAATATCGGTCCAGCAGTGAAAGAGTATCAGCTCTTTTCCAAAATGATTTAAGGCATTTTGGCGTATGATTACTCGATTAAGTGCTTCACGCGTACCAGTGTATACTTTAAATGACAATTAATTTGCGTAGGGCGTTTTTTAAATTTTTAACTTATTATTTTCAACAACATCAATATCCCATATTTCATACTCCTACTTAAATAAGTACAAGTAATTAAAATGTAATAGAAACGTGTTAAAAAGAGAAAAAGTGTTACTTTATCTGTTACTACAATGTATATAATTTACATTAGATTAAATATTATTGTCTAAGTATTTTCATTCATGATTATCTCAAGCTACAAACGTGTTCTTTTATTTTTGTTATACCTATAGCAATTTACTACAGGAATTACTTCATGAACCGAGATATTTAGGCTAGTTCACTGTACAGTGTGCAGATCTAGTTATATTCATAAGGACAACTTTTTCCGACTATAGGTTTTCAATATTAGTGAGATTATCACAGTCCCCTGTCTGACGTCTTTCTACTATAGATTTCAAAAATTAAAAAAAAGAATATTAGCCATTTCCTTTCCAAACGTTTAAATCCGTTGAGCTGTTAGAACGGAAAGAATTAATAAGAAGCTACAGCCACTCAAACTTATAATATTAACGTGATTATAGGTGCAATTTAATTTTAGGTTAAGGCACAACGTTGTCACAGATTACGTGAAGCCGCGCTATAGTAATATCAGTATAAACTTTCTATTATCATAATTTTGGGTAGCTTTATTGATGCATAACCCTACTTTTGCAGTTTATACATTTTTAATTTATAACCTTACTAGCAGAAACTACTACTTTTTAAACTACTACCTTACTTACTTTTTAACCCACGGCTTCGCGCTAAAACTCCAAAAAATCTCTAAAAAGGCAGTTTCATACAACTTTCATCCCCTATTATACCTCTTTATGGATTCGGATGGAATTTCGAAAAATGCTAAAACACGTATTTGTTTAATTTTTATGAAAAGCATTAATACCAAGTTTCAAGTAATTCTGATCATAATTATTTTTTTGGATTGTATTATAAAGTGTTTTCCCGTAGGAATTAGGTAATTTCCCGCGGGAAAAAATAGCTTATGTCACTTTCCAGACCTCCAACTATCTCCACACAAAAACTCACACCAATCCGTCACTCCGTTTCGACGTGAAAGAAGGACAAACAAACAAACACACTTTCACAATTATAATATTAGTATCGATTAAAATAGAATCTAATAAGTTGTAATATACTCGTATACAAGACAATTATTTTGTAAGATACTCTAACCATAGAAAATAAAAGCGTTTGAGTACTGGAAATGTTATCAAAGTGTTATCGAAGAATATCTTTTTAATCTGTAATAAACTTAAATTATTATACTAGTATTTATTTTATCTTGTAATCTGTTGTTGTTGCCATTAATAAAAATATTTAAATTCCATACAATTTTCTGGCTTCAAAACTTCCAGTGGATTAGATTACTTCTCGAATGTCATGTAGGATTGAGAAGACATGAAGGAGATTGGTCGGTTAAATATTTTAAAACATTAAGAAGCTATTCAACAAATGTTGTATCAATATGAATAAAAAGAGGAGAATGAGCTCTTCTACAACTATTTTCTCTCTCCTTCCACTCCCTAATCCACGAAGTGTACTGAGAGCCGAGAGAAACGTGTCCTAAAAATTTGCACCGAGTCCTAAATTAAACTTGTATCTAAGTAGGTTATTTTGTGTTTGTTAACTAATTAGTTGCACTATTTGATGTGATTACTGCCTTGGTGAAGTTACTAAGTAAGTCTGGCCTACATAATGGAGTTAGAATTGATTTGACGTAGTAGGAAAATAAAAAATTATTGGATGATAATTCAAAACTACTTGTTACACGTGTTCAATCTCAATATTGCTATCTAATGCGTGAGTTATGTGGTAATACATAAACAATTTTAAATATTGTTACTTAGCCTTCTGGTGCTCCATTAAAACTAAAAAATAAAAAAACGTCACAGTCATAAATTTTTACTTATTTTTGTTAAAAGTATTGCTTTTTGTCGTTCGGCTGGTACCGAATACAAAAATATATACTTGTTAAGTCATAGGGTATGTACTAAAAAAAATCTATCTGTGAAGTAATTTTCATACTTTTATGCGCTTGATTGCGGCTTTAATTTTTTTAGAATTATTTTGTGTAAGAAAAATGTAATTAAGCATGTTTTTTGAAGTTATACTTCTTTTGGCACGTTTGAAAAAAAAAAATTTACGAAATTTTTACGATGCGCGCGCACATGGACAGCCAAAAAGCGACATGATGAAGTTAGCTGCATTCCTTTTACAAAAAGAGAGTTGTGACATACGGGATGAAATCTTTAGCTATTTTGGCTCTGATACGCCAAAGAAGTACTTTTAACTTCTTACGTCCGTACATAAATACATACACAAGTATATTTTTTGTTTTTGTACCCTCATAATTTTATTTCAAAATGCAGGTATACAATTATCAAATGAATCTTTAAGTATATAGAAAGCTAAATAAAATATCGATACCTTATTTACTGTAACATATTAGTTTCTGTTTTGCGTGTAATTTTTAAAAACAATGCATTTATGCACAATGTCCATAAGCAAAAATAGATCACACTACACCCATCAATCATCATCATAAAATATATATATAAATCTATACTAATATTATAAAGAGGTAAAGTTTGTGATCTTGTGAGTTTGTGAGTTTGTGAGTTTGTGACGTTGTAGGGGGTAATCTCTGGATCTACTGAACCAATTTTCAAAATTCTTTTACCAATAGAAAGCCACGTTCTTTCTGAGTGTCATAGGCTATATATTAAACCGAAAAATGAAAAGGCTTTTTCGTGGTAGTCGGATTTGCAAAGTAAGTCGGAGAAAAAACGGTCGAACGAAAACGTTTTTTACGAACGCTGCCTTAATGATGAAAGATATATGATTTTGTTCTAGAGAAAAGTTGTAGAGCTTAATAATGCCTACAAAAAAGTCAGCGACAGCATATGTCTAACTTTTTTATTTAAGTCACAAAAAGTAGTTTTTTATATTAAAAAGATAATTTAAATCGGTAGGTCATGTTTATTGGTCATATTATCAACAATTATGAATTCTTATCAAAATAAGTATATTTATCGTCTAAAATGTTTAAAATAAAAGACTTTTCCCTTTTACTGCATATAATTTGGACAAATGGTTAAAGAGATAATACAACATATTCGTAGGTATGGACGAACCCGAGCGAGCTGTTTATCTGTTTTTCTCTTTGTACGGGCTAATCTCCGGATCTATTGGACCTATTTAAATGAAATTTTGCATGGTGGTACCTTATATCCCCGGGCAACATCTTAGATACTTTTAATCCCGAAAAATGAAAGAGTTCCCGTGGGATAGTTAAAAAACTATAACAACTTATACAGCTTAGTACACAAAAACTACTGATTGGATTTTAATGAAACTTTTCAATAATATAGTTCATACATGACAAAAACAAATCAGCTGCTTTTCATCCCGGAAAATGAAAGAGTTTCCGTGGGATAGTCAAAAAACTATAGTAACTTATACAGCTTAGTACACAAAAACTACTGATTGGATTTTGATGAAACTTTACAATAATATAATTCATACATCAGAATAACAAATAGGTTACTTTTTATCGTTCTCTCAGACATGCAGGTTTCCTCACGATGTTTTACTTCACCGTTAAGACAAGTGGTAATTGTGTTAGAAATGATTCGCTCATGAAAATATCAGAGGTGCGAGACCCAGGATTTGAACTTGCTTCACTCGGTTTCCCAATTGAGCACGTTACCACTGGGATACCACTGCCTAGATACCTTTTACTTAAAGAAAATCTTTCTTTCCCAAGGGAAAATACAATAACTGGTTTTATCGAGTCCTCTCTAGAAAGCTAAGCTAGCTGGCTAAGCCTTAAGACAT